TCCCGGAGAAGAGAGAAATCTGCTCTTTGGCTACCATTTTCTGCTACTATTTTCCTGGGCGTCTGCCGGCTTTTCCGGGGGGTTGTTGGCAGCTTATATAATGGCTAACCAGCTGACTCAACAGCTCTATTGGTTTTCCGATAAGATAGGACTTTATCTGTCGGTCGTATCAGTTCAATATTAGGGCTGCATACAACAGTGGATAATTAAGTAATTTTCTAGGAAAACTCGTTGCAATATTAGGCATAGTTTCAGGCTGAATGTCCGTTTTCCGCGCATCAAAACTCAGCAACACTGGCTTTTCATCAGCTCTTCGCAGGTTTCTCCAGGCACGCTCTCTTTCCGGAAAGCTGGTCTGCTCTTTGGCGGAAACGCGAAACGGAAATGTCAGATTTTCTGCTAAATTTTTTACAACCATCGACGCCAAAAAGCAGCGACATTCTCCGGATGAGATAATAAACCCAGCGACATACATTTTTTATAGGGAGCAAGGGGGTCCCCAATAGCAGGGGCTGCTGCTAAAAGGGGGCTAAAAATAAACAGCAAGCAAAAAAAATGGGACACGAAAATATGCTCAAACTAGGCCACAAAAATTGGCTAAAAATAAAGGAGGAAATGAAAATGAGGTCTTTTGGGCTCGGAAGAGACCCCAGTTTTTTTTCAGGGCGTGTACGTACCGGCTCCAAAACGAAAGTGAGGTTAGAAACGTGTGCGGATGCTGCGGCGATTGGAACTGAACTGGATTTATCCGGGAGATGGGGATTTTCCTATTTGCTGGCTGTAATTATTTGCTTGCTATTTGGCATCACACTCACTCACACACGTTACCAGGCATTTCGCGTCGCGATTGCTTGCTTCCCTTTTCTAACAATAACTATTTTATTTTTCCCTTCGAACAGCCTTATGTCGTTTAGCGGGGGAAATGTAACGTTTCCTTCGACGGAAAGAAGAGAGCAGCACTGCCCGAAATGCGAAATGTGACTGAGGCAGAAAGAAGAAGCTTCTGGGGACCGAGCCGCCTGCGATTCTCACCGATTAATACCGCTCTCTCACCTCTCAGCGTAGCTCTCACTCGGCTTTCTCCTTTCTCCACCCTCTGCGGTAACGGTTCTTCTCACTTTTTTTCGGTGGTGCGTTAAGGGCGATACAAACACGCTCTCTTTTGCTTTCTGGGGGCTGATATTGCTATGATTTTTCCACCACCTTGGCCGTTTTTTCTATTGAATGAAATCCACTTTGGTCTAGTTCTTCTTCCTTTCCGCTCCTGTGCTTCTTCTTGCCGCTTTTCCTGCGCCTGCGTTGGCCAACGAAAATAGCCGATTGTCGGGCAGCAAGCACAGAAACTGATTTCTTGCACTTTCGCACATTTGTACACTCAAATCACCGCTTGCTGCGATTTCAAATAACCGCCAGTGCTGCCACCTTGCCGCCAACGCGGCGTTGCCATTGCGCGGGAAGTTCAAACAGCAGCTTCGACGCATCCAAAAAGCTTAGAACTTGTCTTTTTTTACGTTAATATAGTTAGGAAATATAAAAAATCGATATAGAATTATGTTTCAAGAAAGTTATATACCAATAAATAAATGAGCATAAGCCGTATATCATAACTTATAACATGTAAATGTTCCCATAACTTCGTAATACATGTTTACGATATAAAAACTTTAATAACCAAAAGTACCACATGAAAGGTATAATACATTTTATTTATTTATTATTATTAATTATAGGTTTTAATTATTTCATGATTACTTTGTATTTTTAGAATGATAGGTTTTCCCACATTTATCTAAGAATCAATTGATAACATACCTCCATTTTATAGCAATCTTGATGTCCCAACCTTCGGCAAACCAAATATTTGGACAATAGGCAAGGTCGGCAGCCGATTGCAGTGCACGCAACATAAATGTGAAAATCAAAACATAAAGAGGACAAAAACAAACCAAAAATGCATTGTCATTTGGGGACGGCGGGGCCTTAAGTTGTCGGATATATGTATGGGTAAAGGGGTGTGGGTTGATGACTGCTCTGCCACTCTGCATATTAATCAACTTTAAAATACATTAAGACAAATGAATAGGGAAATATTCAGGTGGAAATGTTCAATGCTCTAGAGGGGAAATAATTGATATATCACGAAGACAATAAATGAAAACGGTTATTAGATGCACCTAAGTCATAATAGAGATTAACTAATAATATATCATTCAAGATATAAGTTATTGCTTATGACATGGTTGTATTAATAAAAATGACTTAATAATCATAGTAGGCTTATAAAAATAAATAAGAAGTTTGGAAAAATTTGCATAATATTTGATTATAATGACTTCAAGAGGCTTACCTAGAAAAATCCAATTAAAATGTTGTAAGTAGCTTGAAGCTTCACGGATAAGCCAAATCCATTATTATTTTAGCGTACCCCTTCAACCGATCTCCAAAGAGGGTATTACCGGAGACAAGCGACTTTAAAACGATAACAAATAGGTGAGACATCGGCAAACAGACAAAACAGACAAAAAACGAATATGAAATGAAAACCAACGCCGAGCTCATTACTCATGCGCACTGGATGACGTATTTTTGTGGCCCAAAGGGGCTTTTGACCAAGCCCCAACTCGATTGCTCCTCAAGATCCCCCATCTTCAGCGCCACTTCTTAACCTGCTCCACTGCAACCGAGTTGCGATGACGGGGCATTAAAAAATGTGAACGAGCCATGAAAAATAGCAGCTAGTCGTCATGACTATCAGCCAAGTAGCGCTGACTAAGTGGAAGTGCGATTAACTAACAAGAGCCTTTTTTGCGGTTTTCTGCTACCGAAGTTGGGTGTTGAAGTTTATTGTAGGGAAATTAAATTGAAGACACGTTGGCAGGCACTTGAGATTGATATGATTGGAAATTGCATCGCTAATGAGCCTAATTGATTTGCTTGTGGCTTCGGCTAAGATAGAGTGGAGAGAAAATGTACAAAGGCAAATAAAGGTATTTCATATGAGCATTGAAATAGACAACAATGGGTAATTGACATTCTTTTCTACAGAGAAAAAAATAAATATACATAACTTTTCACGATCAACTAAGTTATGATGTGTAGCTGTTAAGAATGCGAAAAGTGGATTCTCAAATATTATATAAGGTTCATAAAAGTATAATAATATTAAACTTTGATTGGCAACCATCAAAATCAATAAAGATAGATTAGGATAAAAATCTATTGAAAAAACTTGTTGAAACCAACACATTAAAAAAGGTTTAGTAACAGGTAATTATTGCGGTGCTTTCAACATGTATGTATTACGTATACGTATTATGTTAATTTAATAGATTGTAGTTGTTGAGGTTCTTCCCTGATAGATCAAAACAACACGATAGTTTGCGTTGTCAGTTTTTAGCTGCGGTTTCCTCTTCCTTATAATTTTCCCCTTTAGGCCCTTCTCCGCTCTTTTTGACCACATAAGGCTAATATTCTTTGCGTGTCGCCCAAATTATTGCCAATTTGGACAATTGTTTTTTTTTCGGTTAGGCGAAGTGTCGTAGCCCTGCACACCTGCAATTAACGCTCAGGTGTGTACACTCTAGGCGGTTTGGCTGTGGACTTTTCTGCTGCTTAGGCCCAATACTCTGGTTTCACTATTTACCATTTTACGATGTTGGCTTTTTACGAACATCTAGGCCAACTGCAATTGAACCCGTCCGAGGGGAAAGAGCTTAGAAAGCCGCAGGGAGATGAAATATCGTTTAGCTGACAGTTTTGTAATACCCCGCCCACTGATTTGCATTTCGCGCTGGAGTTATCAAGGGGCCATCGCTCAATTACCCGAACTGTTTGCATAAATGTTAGACAATGAATATCGTGATAGGCAACACCTTATGCGTTCCACCGGTAATTTTTCTACCTTACAACGCCCTCATTGACACCAAAATCAAATTATCAAAATCAGCAGAATGTATGTACTCGTATACATGGCCGCAATTAATTCGAGATGTCAGCAAACTTCTTCGTGTGCCTGAAAATAAAAGAACAGGAAGCAAGTAGCAAAGTGAAAATTTCGCAAAATTGGCTGCAATTTCACAGGTGATCTCGTTTTCAAAATTGTAAAATATACTGGCGCATTTGAGCTCTCGTAGAAATCTTACGTGATGTGCACATGTACATCTTTTAGACCGTATGTTGAAAATTTTCTGCACATTAGTTTTACCAGAGACCATGAAGGAATAATATTTTGTATGCAATTGTATATTTAAAGTAATGTTAAACATTAAGTTAATTGGTTAACAACTCCAAGTGGGGTGGGTATTTTTTGCATCAGAAAATTTTAAATTGATGTGCAAACGAAGAAAATTACCGAGCACATAGATATTTTAAAAATATTTTTAAAAGTGATCGTACTAATTCATTTAACATGAAATTTTCTTAATTGTTCTATATCCATAGCATAGTATTTTTGGTTCCTTGAAGTACTTTTAGCCAGTATTTTCGCTCAAGTAGCGTAGCTCCACTCACTCCGAACCAAGTCGGCGAAGCAATGGCATTGCCAGATCCACTCAACAGATACCACGCACTCGTAATAGATCCAATTTGGAGAGCCAGCTTTCTCAGTTACCAAAAAGTCAGACATCGCTGGCCACTCAAAGCTCTCTCAGTCTTCTTTTATGAATATTTTTTTCGCTGGGTGCTGAGTTCGCGGGTTTTTGTTTCTCGAGCTGGCTCTTGATTATTTTCTGTTCCGATTTTCATTACGTGCCCCGAAGTCTTGGCGAACTGAACTCGGAAACGCTGAAACTCAGAAGCTCAGAAACTGTGAAACTCAGAAACTCAGGAACTGGCGAGTGAGTGCTTTTCAGCACTAGCTGCGATCGCATTACTTTCAGAGCCACCAATCAGTCTTAAGTGAGCGTGCGTCGGCATTGGCAGCAAGTTGGCTAAAAGCGGATCCTCCTCAGTGACCAACTTATCCCCCGATCTCTCTTTCGCCCCCGACACTATTGGTTAGTTTGCACTTCGCCTTAACATCTGCCTCAAGTCGTGCTCTGAAACTTTGAAATCAAGTGCAAAGTGAAACGCCCCACTGGGTGGTGCAATCAATAATATAAAATAATAATATTAATCGCGGTAATTCCAAATCATCGATTGCCAAACAATCCAAACGGAAGTGATGAAATAATTCTGATTTGTTAGAAAAGTGCGAAGTAAACCTTTGTTATTTTGTTGGACTCGGCTTGCGGAAAAACCATTGGAAAAGCTGCTGACTTAGCTCTTTGATTTTCACTTAAATGTTTGTTTTCATAGCTTTTCCAGTTTCCTCGCTCTCAGCCGTTCTCTTTGCGTGAGTTTACTTGTGTATGTGTTTCGAGTTGGTTTAGATTTTCGCGACACCGATTGAGTAAGTTTTTCCATGCGGTTTTTCCAGCGCTTGCTGGAAAATTCATGGGCAGCAAAACAAACAAAAATCTTTGTAATGGTTATGCGTTGAACAATTTAATTTGGTAAACGCAAGAAGATCTTATTAATGTTTAGTTTTAATGTCTCTGGATTTGACGCGTGGCTAATTTCAGCCAGGCACTTCTTTCATAATTTATTATGTTTTTTTTAGTGGCTGACATCGAATGTTTTGCCGCAAACCGGTTTCCCAAACTCCTGGAATCACAAATAATTTGTACAATAGTGGTGTAGAATTTCTTAATGGGCATAACAAATAAGACGAGCAAAATGTCAATTGTCCAAATTTGTAAGCAAAGTAACAAGCGCAGATGAAGTTCGTTTCTTCAGTCATTTGATTGAAAGTCTCCACGCATGTTCGTTTCTTCATTCTTTTGATTGATGCTCTACTCCCAAGTTCGTTGCTTGAATCTTTGGATTGCCTTTCATTGGAATTTCAATTTTTAAAATTATCTACCGAAAAGAGGTTCAATCAGCTTGCTTTGTTTCTGTTTATTTTGTGCAACTTTCAATGTTAAGGTCTACACAGCCATTTAATGCTAATGCCCAGCACAAGTGCGACTTGTTCGACGATTTTTTTTTATTCGGTTTTTTATGGCGCATTGAATGGAATTCCCGCGATCACTCCTCCGTCGCCAAATGTTCATGCCTAGCATAAACAAAACAGAATTATTGTTACACATTTGGTTGCCAAGGCGGAAATCAAATAAAGCAAAAAGGCTGTCAAATAAAATCGATTTGAATGGAATAAAATCATAACAGCACATGAAGAGAAATCAATGGCGCGAACCGAGATGAGAGAGATCTGTTCGTCGTAAAATAGAAAGTGACCAAAATGGATCTTAGCTCATAAACAAAACCCAAAAATTCGTCACAGTTAGAGGATACCCTCACATCAAAGCCAGAGTTGCTCAGCTAACTTGCCAAATTTATTATAGTTTGTTCATTAGGGCTTAGCTTAGTTTTTGTTTTAGCCTAGGGCTCGAAATTTGATATTTGCCATTTTAGGACTGAAAAAGAAATTGCCAAATATTTAATATGCAGAAACAGTTTGTATATACTGCGGCAAACACAGATACTCATCCATACGGGGGGAACTAAAGACCCAGCTGGGTTTCAGTCATTTGTCTAAACAGAAATTACGAACAAAGCAAAACGCAGACGTAGCAAAATTATGCAAATCTTAGGGCACATACAGCCACAGCTACCTCTGTAAATATTTATATATACTGTTTATCTATATATATAGTATTATCCATGTGCTTCTCCATCAAAAATGCAAAATAGGAAATGAGCAATGGGCAAACGCCATAACAACAAGCATTTTTCTAAGTGCCCTATTGCATTCTTCTTTGCGGATCCATACGGATGAGATAAAGAAAATACATATAAAAATGCAAAAATTAGTTAGTAAAGTTAATAACAACAAGGCGTACTTATTTAAATTTAATATAAATTCCAAATCATTGAACAATTTCTGGCTGTGCTTATTGGTGCGAATCATTTGTCTACAAGAATTATTGTTTTTAAGAGCATTATATATGAGAAGAAATACATTTTTTATTTACTAGCTATTTCATTTTTGTGTCACGGTAAGGTCTTGTTCAAGGTCCCAAAAACCTTTTTAAGATATATGTTCTTAACAAATTAGTTGTCCCATTTTATATAAGCCAAAAAAAAAATGTCAAGTTCAACGATCTGTTAGCCCTACCACAGACCATCAATAAATCAAGCCGTCAATCCCAAATGCACGATCTAAAAACCTGTTGGCCCAATCTAGCGAAGAACTTTAGGAAATCAAACAAAGGTTTTACCAATCAGCGTTGAAAATATGACAAAAATGTTGCTGGGCCAGGGCAAAAAAGCGATGAATCTCTGTGAGATTCATGGTTTCGAGGAAACCAAATGCAAATCATTCGGATGGGGGCCAGGCCAAGAGCAACCGAAACCAGTTAACTCCGATCAATTCAATGTTGGCCAAGCTGGCGGCATTCTGTCTCTGATCCGGAGAACTTAATTTGCATAATTCTGGGTTTCGGATCGGGCCACATGGCATAATGTTTTCGAAAGCGAAATGCCATTGAGCAAAATGTGTTGAGTCAGGAAAAGCCAGTGCGGATTTTTGGAGGTTGTCCGATCTGTCAGTTGGTCAATTACAAGCGAATCAATTAGCACCCGGGTGTTAGACGCCGAAAAACACTGAAATCGCGGCATTTTAACCACAGATACAAATCTGTATCCGAGAGATCTGTTCCATGTTCGATCCATTGGATTCATATGCATACGAAGACAATGCAGCACGACGATCTCTAGAGATCAACAGAGATTTGACCGTGACCGTGCATTTTGATTGAGCTGAGTTTTTTTGTTTAGCTGGCCAAACTCCGAATATTAATGGTATTTGTGGGCCTATAGATCTCCAGCTCCTAACCAGACAACACAACTCCACTCGAGATCTCCGCCTGGGCGGCCTTGACACAAATTTGGTATCGCACGAAAATGTTCGAAATTATCTCTCCGCCAACAAATTGTTACGCATTTCGTTAATTATGTTTTCCACCTGTACTCGCAGCTTGGGCAATGTGCCGTGTGAGATCTAACTACATCGGTTATACTCGTACCTTGGTTTGATTTCTTTTTAAACTTGTCGAGGCTTTTCGGTTTCTTTTTTTCGGATATACGCGTCATTTGCCATTAATTAGTCGAGCTATTGATGGTCTCGAATGGAGCGAACAAAAGGCGGCTTTGTGAATGGTTTTGCAGTTGGCCGGGAAAGTACAGTTAGCAGTGTTGGGCAACGGCCATGATTCCGATTGCGGTAGTGTGACAAGTCGAAAGTTTGGGGATATTAATTAACGTATGTTTAGCCACTCTAATCCAGTTGGTGATTAAAGTAAAAGGTTAATGGTGCTTAAGTGTGGGAAATTTGTAAGGTTAAATTAACCCACGAATTCTGCAGCTGGTTTTCTAGCCAGTGCTAGGCAACGTTGGAATATAAATGCTATAAATAACTCTTCAGAAGGATTGAAACCCCAATAAGACTATTTTAGCTTTTATCTCATGTTAAAAAACAGTTAGTTTGCTATTACTAGTCGGAATTAATTGCTTGATTTATAAGAGCAGGTTGCTTATATGTTTCATGTTGTCCATAGCACCTACTATTGCATTAATTGGTTTATTTAATGCGAAAATTAGTTTTTCTGTACATTCCCGAGTGTAATTTTCTTAGCAAACCAGTTTCATTACTTTAGCCACCCACCCAATTGTGATTCACTTATTCGGTTACAGAATTCATTCAACGTCAATTATATTAAATTTTACTATAATATCCCAGAACTCGGCCAGGAGCTCAGCAAGTATTCATTTTCAAAAAATTAACTCTGGATAAAAAGGCAATTCACAACGCTGTCCTAGCCTCCGGCCATTTAAAATGAGCTCCATTTAAGAGCTGCCGGCGCTGGAGAAGTTTCGCCAGGTTTCTCCCACAGATTTGCGAAGAGACCCCATGTAGGCACTGGGTCCGGCGATGGCGGGCGGGATTTCCATCAGTTTGGAGTCACTGAACACGGGAGTCGACGGGCGGTTAGCCGGAGCACGGGTTTTGACCACCATTCGGAAACGGGGCGGCTCCACGGACCGACGCTCCTCCTTCTTCTTGGTCTTCTTATCCTCCTTCTTGGGCAGCAGTCCTGGTTGCGCGTTGTCCTGGGGCTCGAGGAAGCCCTGTTGCCACAGAGCCGCCTGTTTCCTGGCAAACTTGTGGTACTGCTTATCGATGCCCGAGGGTCGCCGCTTTGGCAACAGCACTACCGTCTTGGCTTTCAGCGCATACGCAGGTGGCGATATCTGATGGTAGCCGCGTCGTTGGTAATCCCTTGGATATGCAGGTGGAATACCCACGACCTTCTTGCGCTTCAGGTGGGGTTTCACCTCTTCTGTGGTCTCCGATTCGCGCGAACACGGGCATGTTTGCCACGAATGCCAGTACTCTGCCTCGTTCTCCTCCTGACGCTTCCGTAACCACTCGGCAGAGGGACGATTAGGATCGTAGATCACTGTCTGGCTTTTTTGAGCTTCCTCCGATTTCTCCGGCTTGCGTCTCATGCGCTGGTAGTCCTCCGATTCCCTTTGCATTTTCTCCTCCATATACTTTTCCTTTCGTTTATCCGTACGATAGGTAATGCCCGTGGTATTAGTTTCCCTCCTAGATTCCGGGCGATTTAGCCACCTACGCCGATTCTGCTCGATGATCGCCTCCTGGCGCCTCTGGTGATCGGCCGGATCCTGAGAAATGGTACGCCGGCGCATTGTGTCCGGTTCCGCCTGACCGTCACCGAAGTGACTACTGATCCTTTTTTGGGCCTCCTTGCGACGCTCCTCACGTTCCAACTCATATTTTTGTTGCCTGTGACGGAATTTGTTCTTCGCTATATACAGGCGATCGTTGCAGTGAGACTCGTAGCCCAACTCATCCAAACGCTCGGGAAAATCGGGAGTCCACTCGCTGTCCCGCCAAGGAGACTCCTTGGGCACGTCAGCCATGTCCTTCATCTTATTGATGCCCTGTATTTGTGCCTGAGTCTGGTCGTCGAAGGTATATCGATCGGCGTAACGACGCTTTTGGCCGGAAACTGCAGGTAATCGTCGCAAACTGGAAAACTCACCCTTGGCTTTATTACTAACAAATCGCCAAGAATGATTCAGGCTCATTCGAGCCACTTTAAAAGTGGTATTCATCTTGCAATGGATTCGTCTATGATTGAACTCCCTTTTCAGAACTAATAATTTTGATGCGTGCACGAGATGATGTCTGAAAATAAAATTCCGGACTGAATTTTTGAATTTTCAATTTTGAAAGCTACAAATTTTCAACTCCGAAAATAAAAGACCAAAAATTTTGTGAACTGAACGCTTCGCAAACTGGGAATATTATGAGAACGCTAATGACTTTTCCCAGGAAGTAAAAGGCAATGCTGCCCCAGCTAAACACTAAATTCAAGCGGGTACTCATGGCCTACTTAGCGTTTAACGAAATAAACCTTTTTTTCCAAACAATCTTTGAAATGCACATAGGAAATGTGTGTTCATTTAGAAGTTCCCTGACCATGCAAGCGGTTAACCTTTGAAGTACCTATCCATTCGGTTTCACACCCAAATGGGAAAGTGTGGAGAGTTGAAATACTTAGCATTTGCCTTCGTTGAAGGTTGTCTGCCTTCCGCATCGTGCAGTCCACTTCCATCTTATTTTGATAACAGATTTATGATGCACATCCGCCGCATGCTAAACTTGACACACTGAGAAGTCCGTCTGGTTTCTGCTTTCTGGTTTTCGTTTTTCGATCGTCGTCTTTGGCTTCCTTATCGCACCGATCCAGTTGGACTAATGAACTTGAACTAACCGATGTCACGGCGCGTTTCCTTGTTTCATTCCTCTTTCACAGCTTGCCGCACCGACTTCGAATCTCAGCAGCAAATTGGCGCCGCCGACGAATCTTGAGCCCTACACCATGGCTGTCATCACGGAACATGGCGGCACCACCTCTCCCCCGGAAAACAACAACAGCATCGGCAACGGAAAACTCCGGGTCAACGGCCACCAGCTGAGCACCTCGCTGACCATACCGGAGTTCTTTGCCCACAAGAACATCTTCGTCACCGGTGGCACCGGATTTCTGGGCACCGTTCTCATCGAGGCTCTGCTGGACACACATCCCGACATTGGAACCATCTACGTGTTGGTCCGGGGCAAGCGCAAGTTCGATCCGAACGAGCGGATCCGTCGACTGCTCCAGAAGCCGGTAAGTCTGGTGGCATTTGCTTTAGATTGTTTGACCGCGCGTCGGGGTGCAGCACCCGGCCACGCCCCCTGACACGAACCTGCCCTCGACGCGCCGGCTGCAAGGTATATCATTAAAGCCAATTACGAGTCTCTTTATGGAGCGTTAATTTGTCAAAGTCGTAACCTAGCCGACCTCTTCCGCTTGGAGCCGCCATCCATGGGGCTTTCATTTTCTAGTTTTCATCATTTTATTTACTAGCAGTATGCAATACTCTTTTAGGAATTTGAAAAAATATGAAAATATTTTTCTATAATTAAAAAGTTTGGGAAAGCTTCATTTATTGTATTAAATTATCTGGTATTTTTTTTAACTGCAATATTGCATTTTTTTTAATTCAAAATAATTTGTCTAGCAGTCATACATTTTAATCATATAAATTATATTTAAAGAGTAATACATTTTCGGTCCAACAAAAAAGTGTTTAATTTTTCTTTGCTCTTTCTTTCTTTTTTTTTTGTTCGGGCCTCTACACATCTCGTAATTTTTTTATTTTTAAACTTATTTTTAATGGCCCAACAAAAAGCAGCTAACATGAAATGTGTTTTGCTTTAGAAATTGCTTACTTACGAGTGTTCCCCAAAAAAGTAAAAGTACCGAAAAAAGCACTCATCGCTAACAATCATAATTGTTTTTGGCCATAATGTGGGCGTGTATAGTTAGCAACCCGACCTCCAAACAGTAGTGAAATTAATTTTCAACATCCGTCTTTAGAGGGGAAGAAATGGGTCTCCTACTGGCTTAAAAATGTTAAGTAGTACATGTGTATATAAAACTTTGATCCGCTGCGATTGCAAGTCATAAAGCTTTTAATACTTCCAAATTATGACCCCCTGCTATTAGTTAGAGTTACGCTTCATAAAATTATGTTCGAAAAAATGTTCGTTTAATATTGCGAATATATATTTTTCAATTTATGGTATACTTTTTTCAGATTTTCGAGAAGTACTCGGAGAAGACTCTATCGAAGGTCGTCCCAGTAGTTGGCGAACTGAGCGAACCGAACTTCGGCTTTGACCCCGAACTCCTGCAGGAGCTGATCGAGCGGGTCAATGTGATCTACCACAGTGCGGCCACCATCAAGTTCAGCTCCCCGCTGCGCACCGCCATTCGCACCAATCTCACGGGAACGATGCGCACCATTGAGCTGGCCAAGCAATTGAAGCAACTGGCCGCCTACATCTATTGCTCCACGGCCTTCTGCAATAGCAACAATCGTGGTCTGATTGCCGAGGAGGTGTACAAGTCACAGTTCGACCCGTACGAGATGATGAAGATGGCCGAAGACGACGCCGCCTGGGAGGACTTCACCGATCAGAAGTGCAAGGGCTATATCCGGGATCATCCCAATACGTATACGTTCACCAAGAATCTGTCGGAGAATCTGCTGATGGCCGAAATGTCCGGACTGCCAGCAGCCATAGTTAGGCCATCGATTGGTGAGATTCCATTGGGAAAGCGACTGGAAAATGTCCTTTTAATTGCTTTTGGTTTCTAGTTTATGGAACCTTGGAGCACCCGATGAAGGGTTGGGTGGGCAATGCAAACTCTGGTCACCTGGGCTTTCTGGCCGGCTTCGTGAAGGGAATTTTCCGCACCATGTGCGGGAATGCTAGTGCTGTGATCGACATCATACCATGCGACTATGTGATCAACTCATCACTGGTTATGGGCTGGTATGTGGGCACCCGGAAGCTGGAGCAGCCGGAGATCATCCATTGCACCTCGGGAGAGGTTAATCCTCTGAATCTCGCCGAGTTCTGCACGATCATCAACGACAGTGTGGAGCGGCATCCACCAAATAGTTTTGTTTGGAAACCGGTGACAAAGTTGCGCAACGGATGGCGTTACAATCTGTTCTTCTATCTGTTTCATTTGCTGCCAGCGATGGTCTTCATCATACCAGAGAAGCTATTCGGAATCGGAATGCCCCAGCACACGTAAGTATCTTAAATGACGTTAAGTCTTCGCACAAAAAGCTGGGTCAACTTAGTTTCTAACCACAATATTTGTCTTCTGCAGAGCCTACGAGTACATGCGGGTGTTCCAAAAAGGAACCAAGGCCTTTGACTACTTCCTGGACAAGGACTTCCGCTACTCCTTGAAGAATGCGCTGCGTATATCAGCATTAATACCGGAGAGCGATCGGAGGCGCTATAACTTCGATGCCAGTCAGTGCGATTGGTCGGAGTTCATCGATCGGTGTCTGATCGGAATCCGGCGTTTCTACTTCAAGGAGTCGGCAGTGACCACGGAGTGGCATCGCAACTACTGGAAGGTGTAAGTGCCTGACACCACTGATCTAAAGCACGCGAATTCAATTTCATTTATACCCTGTCTTTAGCTTTAACTTCCTGTACTACGCGGGCTTTGTGGTCATCTTTGCCGTCCTGTACTTTGCCCTCACTTTAACGCTGGGCCTGCAGATCGGTCTTACGTTGGCGGTCCTGATCTGGGGATTCCTGGTTTGGTTGTAGCCTGTTTTCTGGATCGCAGACCGTGGGATTGTGCAATATTCCCGCCTCAAGTCCGGTCCTACCACACATGGTTGTTCGTTTCCATCCGTAGTTTGTTCTAGTAGGGTATCGTGTATTTTACTTTTAAGTCCTTTCACACAAGCCAAGTACAAGTCAGCGAAATGTATCATATGAATTAACAATCGAAGCAACACTAGACACGAATCTATTCACACAGCAATGCAAAAGTAACCCAAAACTTAGTCACTTTAAATAAACACGTAATGTAAAAGTAATGACAATTTTAGATTGTTGTAATAATCAACCGGTTTATAGTCAAATAGTCGAAGAATACGAGAACTAAACATTAATTGATTAAATATGTAACTATTATTCAAATAAATATGATTTTTATATTAAGGAAAGATAATGTGTTCTTATTAAGTGTATTAAAGTGGGGACGGATTTGGTATTTGAATTTTGGTCAAAAAAATTAAGAAATGTCCCAAGGCTGAAGTTCTATACTCCATAACTCAACTTACCTTAATCGGATTTTGATGTGGCATACCTCTAAATGTTTCTGGCGCAATTCTCTACAAATCTGCATTCAAATTTAGAAATATATTTTTTTTCAATTTTTTTTTAATTTTCTTGATTTTATGATGTTGCGGAAATTCAAAAAGTTAAAAAATGTCCCAAGGCTGAAGTTGTATACTCCATAACTCAACTTATCTTAATCGGATTTTGATGCGGCATACCTCTAAATGTTTCTGGAGCAATTCTCTACAAATCTGCTTTCAAATTTAGAAATATATTTTTTTTCAATTTTTTTTTAATTTTCTTGATGTTATGATCTTGCGGAAATTCAAAAAGTTAAAAAATGTCCCAAGGCTGAAGTTGTATACTCCATAACTCAACTTATCTTTATCGGATTTTGAAGTGGCATACCTCTAAACGTTTCTGGCGCAATTCTCTACAAATCTGCATTCAAACTTATATTTTTTTTTTTTAATTTTTTTGTAATTTATTTGATGTTTTAAGCGTTTTAAGCTCCATATCTTATCTTAATCGGATTTTGAAGTGGCATAATTCGTTTTGGACAATGTACAGTGGCGACACCTGCAACTATTTTTACATACAGTTTCTACATTGTATATAATAAATACATGCTTTGGTTCCGCAATATTCCGACAGGGGCGCTGTCTGACGAGAAGAGAAAACATATGCCGCTGAAATAATGAAATAAGTATCTGTAAGATAGCAAAAAATGTATCCGTAGAGCTCGCTCTCATTGTATCTGCTGTCTCGCAAACTCAGTGATTAAACCACATTGTATGTGATGAGATAAGAAGGTGAATATAGGGGGGCCAAGCCGAGCAAACACTCCCCATTGAGACGCCACTGGCTAACTGGTTTGGCCGACGATCGTGATCGCTATTATGACGATCCGCGGAGCGTAGTTAATGATCATCTACGATCCGTCGGCTTGCGGCCGAGCACATTTCGGTGGCCATTGACGGCATAAGATTCAGTTGAAGTTTTACTGTTGCCGGCTAACGTTCGAGAATCGGAGGATCGGAGAAACGCAGATAAAGATAAACTCGCCCATTCAGCTGCCTTGCTCACACTCACACTCGCGCACTCGCACACACCGACACACACACACACACACACACGTTCGTTGTGGCACACACGTGCAGTTGCACTGGTGTTGGTAATTTGTTTACAGTCGCATCGCAACAACAATAAAAGCAGTGGAGTAAAAGATAGAAAGACGAAATAAATGCGAAGAGGAGGGCGATAAAAAGAAAGAGAGCTACGTGGAAAAGAGAAATTTCGACGTTCTAAGCCGAGTTTTAGCCTTAAACAAATAATCAGAACGAGCGGATAGACTGCAACTGGCATTATTATTGGCAATTACCACAGCTGCTGAGAAACCATGGCCAGGTAAGTCCACCTCGATTTGGCTCTAAGCAACGGCTTCTGCTCAATTTTGGTCGTATTTAATTTTGGTAGCACGTTTGACAACTTTCGACCTGTTTTTGTCCCGCTTTCGAGCGCCTTTGTGAGGTTAGAAAGACGGAGCAAAGTTCGAAGTGCGACAAAAATCTGGTGTAAAGAACACAAGCCGAGCTAAAGATTTACTTAGCAAATAGGTGGAACCAAAATAGATATTTTAACTTTTATAGACAAAATCATCCATATAAGGCTGAAGCTCAGTAATGCACTCTAACATTAAATGCCAACTTCCCCAAACTTGAACTTCAAACTCTGCTCAGAGTAGATCATCATTAAAAGCACACTCATAATTTTCACTTTTAGTGGATAGGTTAAAATCCATGATCTGTAATCCCACATAGCCTTTGGATTTGGGACTCAATACAAATGTTTTTGGACATAATATAGTTGATGCTATTGAGGTCACACTGTACTATAATTAACACTTGCGTTGGCGGCTAATTCTACATCATTACGAACTGACAGTGGGTCATTTGGCCGGACACTTTCGCCAGCGAGAATCGAGAATCCATCACCTGAGAGTCACCTGCAATGGGAGAACAATAAAATTTTTCATTAACCTGTTAGAGGTGGCTGTGCACTATTAGCCAGATGAAGAGGGAAATGCGAACAGGGCTAGGCATTTCATTTAAACGCTGAATCTTTGACCTGTTTGAAAAGCCCTTTTGGAAATCGCAAGTTGCCTTTTCAGCCGCATGACGTCAATGTGCCGGAAATCAAGCGAAAATTACAGGTTTTAAAATCAAAGGGAACCGCAGGGAAACAAGATCATTACATATAGTGGCCACCGCATCCTGACAGGTTGCACAAAACGTTTTCGGGACGAATATTAATAATAATATGCCGGAGATTTATGGCCCATCACAAGGTTGACTGCAGTTGGCAGGGTCAGTTACCCAAAGTCGAGTGGCTTAATTGCCGAGGTGGGCATGGCAATCATTTAAGTTGATGTGCAAGCTAATGATATGGGGGTTCTTAACGCCAGTGTCCAAACGGAATGCGGTAAACTGTGGCAAATGCTTGCGTATTATGCAAGGCATTAGGGTACTAAGCTGGATTTTTCGAATAACACTACTTTATTACTTACTTCCTCACTTGTAGCTGCGTTCCATTAAATACAATATTCGTGTAGTTATCTCAATTCCAAGGCAAAGCAAAACCTTAATTTGAAACAAATTTCAAGTAGCACTGCCACCATAAATCGGCTTACTTAATTAACCCAGATAAGCAGCAAACTGGCCAACACAAAAATCTAATCTCAGAAGTTGATTTACAGCTGATAAGAAAGTTAATTTAAAAGAGTTGGCCAAAGAAAGGAGTGAATTGGAAACCCTAAGCAAAACGCTCCGTGAGTTATTAGCCATTTGTGTTGATTGGGTCACCTGTCCCTACCGTTTTCGCCCTTTTCCCCCCAAATTCGCTGGTCCACGAAGTGAAAGCTCAACTTGGCTTACAAGCGAGCGTTCAAACTGTGAGCCTGGTTGGGATGATGACTTGCCTTTTCGGGTGTGCAAATATGAGCACCTGCAAAGGCTTCAACTGCACTTTATTTACTTGCGACGGGTCTGCCATCTCGAGGGTCTCCTTTAATTGCTAAAAAGAAAATTTGCATATCGTTTTGTTTCTTTTTTTTGCCTATTCAAATATGGGAAATGTAAATGCAACACATATGCCGCCATCCAAATCACATTTGTTATGCAGAAATTATATCACGCATCGTTAGAGGGGAGTAAAAAGCAAAGAAATCATCTTCAATGTTCGTCATTATAAAATCATTTGGCCTAGCAAAAAAAGTGGAGACAGCACACTGCGATGGAGGTCATTAAAAGAGAAATGCGCCAGACTTGACTAATTGAATGAACGTGTTGCGTGTTTGCTGGAGCCCCAATACGTTTTGTAATTTGATCGAAATTGTTCAAAAATTAGTCGATAGCAAGCTGGAAATGGGAATTCCCCTAAGCTAAAGAGCTTGAGTAAACTGTTTTGCAGCGAAAACCACTTAAATGTATTGTTAAAAGGACCCTAAGCACTTTCGAGTTGCTTAGATATGGTTAATAGTTCGGCTATATGACTCGGACGAATAATAACGGGAAGAGTAGACTAATATGAAATTTATTGATAATTCGTGAGATACCGAAAACCATGTCAAACCATTTCATTTATCAGTTTGAACGCGCGACTACTTTCCATTCGATTGCCCATTTCGAAGTACCAAGAAAACAGCGACACCCACGAGATTGTTTTGCATTCCGGCATTGAACTGCCAGTCGACACCTGCTAGGTAATCATTAGCTAAACCAATATTAGAGGACATACAATGGGCACTTAGAACTCGGAGTCCATGAGAAAAACGGGTTTTTAGCGGGACAAAGAGCCAAGATGCCCTGCCTTGGAGGTTTTACGGGTGAACGAGTGTCGTAAGCAATGGTGGCTCCAGTCGACCGTTTGAATGGGCGGCGAGAGAAAGTTCGGTTCATCTTTTATGACGTCTGTATATTTGGTCGTAGCAGTCGTATTATATAAGCACTATAGACGCACCGAACTGATTGGTAAACCCCTAATGTTTCAGCTCGCCCGTCACAGACTTCTATGCGGGTCGCAATGTCTTCATCACGGGAGCCACGGGCTTCGTGGGCGTCACCATTGTGGAGAAACTGCTGCGCGATGTTCCCAACGTGGGCACACTGTACCTGCTGATGCGGGCCAAGAAGGGCAAGAATGTCCAGGAGCGGCTGGAGGAGCTGAAGAAGAACTCCGTGTTCGACAAGTTCAAGGAGCTGCAGCTGGAGGCGCGTCTCTCCAAGATCGTTCCCATCGAGGGCGATGTGGGCCTGGAGCATCTGGGCATCTCGCCAAAGGATCGCCAGATCCTGATCGACAACGTGAACGTCGTCTTTCACTCGGCTGCCACCTTGGACTTCTTCCAGTCCCTGAAGGAGACCACCAACATCAACTTGCGCGGCACTAGGCGAGTGATGGAGCTGTGCCAGCAGATAACGAACCTGGATGCTTTGGTCCATGTGTCCAGCGCCTATGTGAATGCCTATTTGACCAAGGTCGAGGAGAGGCTATATCCCTCGCCCGATGATCCCGAGAAGATCATCCAGCTCTCGGAGACCCTCAACGACGAGGCCCTCAAGGAACTGGAACCAAAGTGAGTGATCGTTATAAACTAATATGTTTGTGTTTATAAATAATGAATTATCATCATTCAGACTTCTGAAGGATCACCCCAACACCTATACCTTTACCAAGCATCTGGCGGAGCACGAGGTGGCCAATGTGGCCAGTAAATTCCCCTGCGGCATCGTCCGCCCCAGTATGAGTGAGTATTAAATTGTTAGTTAGCTATTTCGCAGAAACTAACGAATCATTTAAACATCATAAAGTCACTGCCGCTTGGAAGGAACCTCTTCCTGGATGGACCATTTCGAAGAACGGTCCCCAGGGCTTCTTCATGGGCGCCTCCAAGGGCGTGCTGCGTCGCCTTCCCCTGGATCCCAGCATCATCATGGACTACATACCCATCGATGTGGTGGTCAATGGCATCATAACCACTGGCTACTATGTGAACTCGCTGCAGGCGAAAAACGGAGGACGCCCAGCCGATCTGCAGATCTTCCACCTGACCTCCAGCACATACAAGCCCTTCCGATTCGAGCTGATGACGGACAAGATCAACAGCTACCTACACGACTATCCCCTGAACAGTGCCGTCTGGTATCCCAACCTGCGCCTGGTCAAGAGCCTCTGGGTCTTCCGGCTGAGCGCCATTCTGTTCCACTTCATACCTGCTATTATCCTGGATCTGGTCACCAAAATCGGAGGCGGCAGGCCCATGTAAGCATACATTGCTCTAACATATTGGTGAATCAGTTTCCTGATAACCTGCATAATTTCAATACATTTTCAGCTTGGTTCGTCTGCACAAGAACGTATGGAACTCACTGAATACCCTGGAAAAGTTCATCTTCACGGAGTGGCACTTTGACAGCAAGCGTCTATTGGCGCTGTCGAAAACCCAGAATCTAGTGGACAAAAAGAAGTTCTTCATCGACATCGGGGAGCTGACGTGGGATGAGTACTTCGCCAACACGATCCTGGGTGTGCGCCAGTACCTCAGCAAGGAGCCGCCCAAGAACCTGGAGAAGGCGCGCCGCAAGGACAAAATGTAAATATAAATATATAAATGTAAAAGTGCCATACTTACCCTTGTCCATTCCAGTCTCCTGGGACTTCATGTGGCGCTGCAGCTCTCATTCTGGTACGGAGTCTTCAAGTTGATCGTGTGCCTCACCGGAATCTCGTCGGCTAAAGCAGCTCTGGTCCTGCCCGTCCTTTACTACCTGTTTGGACTGCTTTAAGAAGCTGAGCAATTTCCCCCGTAGCTCAACATTTTCTCAATGTTATTTATGCTTAATGCACTTTGTATGAGGTTTGGTTTTACAATATAAATACAAAAACAACAGGCACATTTTTGATTTGAGCGCTACTCCGCCACCGAGAAATCTGATCTAGAATTAGAATTACCCTGAGTTGAGGATCTTTTTTTAAATAACTAAAATATTTTGCTTTTAAGCGTGTTAAATAATGAAGAAATTAAAGCTTTTAAGTTTTTGACTTCCCACCGAACTGCCTAAGAGACCTGGTCACATCGACTCTCGCGTTTAGTGTGACCACAGCAATGGACGCCTGGAAATACCCAAGTGCATCTCAAACCCGAATCAACAGTTCCCCAACAAAAACAAGAGCGCGACCAGCTGGTCCAGTGCATCCAAAACACCTCCAATTGGCCGAAGTGTGCAGGAAAAGCGAGGGCTTTTCTCCGCACCCTGACCCATTTGCGGACACACAAACGCTTTCCCAGTGCAGAGAAGTCATGTATTGAGCCGCCCGAGAATGCGGAGCCCAGAAACGGACAGTGAGCACTCGGAATCGGACTCCGTCGCCTGCTCCACGGACAGCCAGTCCAGCGGATTGGGGGCGGTGCGCCATCAGCGACGGAGCACCCATCGTACGGATGCCCTCAGCCTCAAGGCCATGGCGCCTAGGTGAGTCAGTGGCTGAGTATGAGTCTGGAAGGAGAGTCCAAAGTGCCAGCTTATCAGTAATCTAATCTGACCCTTCTGAAGGCCCAATGCCGGACCCGGCGGCTGGTTATGTCTACTGCTGCCGCTGGCCTTCAGCGTGCGCCTGTTGCACGCTACGCCGGAATGCAAGGAGCAGGAGAGGATGCAGTGGCTCCTCACCGTGGCCGCCGGCGGGATGGCCATCGAAACTCTGTGTTTCTTCATCTACGCCTTTGTGAAGACGGGCATCCTGGTTAAGTGCCTGGTGAGCCTCCTGCCCGGAGTGGCCACCAGCTTGGGCTTCTATCTGCTGGTGGACACCTCGCTGACCTTCGCCATAGTCGTCGGATTCGTGATGACCTCTACGTATCAGCAAATCTACATTTATACGCTGCGTGGCTTCCAGCGTTCCTTCACCTACGGAGAAGCCTCCGTTTTTGTCCAGGGGCTGGTGCTCTTCGCTTTGAGCGCCATCCACCGCCTGGGTGGATTCTTCTGCGGCGGTTCCTGGCCAAGCGATGAATTCGAGACGCTCGACATGATCATGGTGGTATGCAAGGCTATGAGTGTTAAACAGAATGCACTTAACTTTCATTAACCCGCTTGTCTTTGATCTACAGAATGCCCTATTTTGCCTGCTGCTGTTCTGCGTGGCACTCATCCTGTTTCCATCGCTGAGGAAGCCGCTCCGCTTCTACATGTGGACGGCGGTGCTCCTTTTGGCCGTCACCTGTATGCCGGTGACGCGACCTCTTCCTCTGCTAGCACTCGTGCAGTTCCTGCTCCGGGATCGCGAAAGACTGGCCATCCTGGTCTTCTATATGCTGCTGGTTGTGCTCACCTGCCTCACTGTCGCCTGGCAAATTGGAAGCTCCGCGAAGGCCAATACACGAGTGCGCAAGATCTTCCACCTGCTGATTGTCATGGTCTATATCCCCGGCCTGGTCTTCGAGTGCGCCCTACTCTACTTGGCCACTGGCGTGGCATTGGCCGCTTTTGTGGTCCTGGAGCTGGTGCGTCTGCTGAAGATTCCGCCATTCGCCGACAGACTGGCTGTGGCTTTCAGCACATTCAAGGACGAAAAGGACGCCGGAGAGCTGGCTTTGACTCCGTTCTGCTTGCTCATCGGCTGCTCAATGCCCATTTGGATGACCCCATGTCCGTGCTCCGGCGGCAATACCCTGGCCTTGCTTTCGGGGATCCTAGCAGTCGGCGTAGGAGACACTGCTGCCAGTGTACTGGGTTCAAAGCTGGGACGCCACAAGTGGGCAAGTAAGTAAACCTTTGAGATACGCCGACCTTCCAACAGGTTCATCCGCATATATAAGATTCTATTTTAATACATGTGTCATACCCTTAGGATCTTCCCGATCCCTGGAGGGCACCATTGCTTTCGTCGTCTCCATTCTAACAGCCGTCTGGCTGCTGGAGGCTACCGGCTTGGTGGCCATGAGCCAGGCCAAGTGGTTCGCCACCATTTTCGCAGCACTGAACTCGGCTCTGTTGGAAGCATTCACCGACCAGGTGGACAACCTGGTGCTGCCCCTGATATTCTATACCATTGTGGGCCTGGCCTAATTGGATGCATATGGATACAAATTAGTTCTAATGCTTGCATTCCTCGGTGTATTTATTTATAAAATTGCGCGGTTTAACCAAGTGTAGAGAGCCCATTGGTTCAGTAAGAACCAATCAAATTGTTTAATAAGAAAGTTTATAAAACTATATTCCTTATCACATTTCGCGGTCCTTTTTTATGGGATTGAGAAATTAATTATTTGAATATGCCTGTACACCTTTCTAATCGAACACATTAGCAATAAGGGATTAGCAATAAAAGGTCTTAGATTGATTTTAGAATTCGAGATTTGTATTATCGGGCAGCAGGTGAGATTAATTTATATATTACTTATATGTTCATCCATGCCACTTGACATCTCTTACTCTTGAATGGTAAAGTTACTAATTTTTAATAATTATATACTTTTGAAGTCCGACATCTATTTTGTTTACTTACAAGGACTAAAACTTATTTTGCGTTTTCTAGTAAGTTTGATCGCATGAATCCAATAAGAATGCGCTGGCTTAACAGGGCACCCCGACGGCTGTTATGTTAACATAATCCACTCCGCGGCCGTCTAGCAGAATGTTAGCCAACACGTGGGGCCACTGTTATGGGGAAAAGCTGAACAAAAACTATGAAAATAACCGCGCAAACGGCTCATAAACAGAATTCCACTTGGTTTATATAAAGTGCAAACACTGCAGATTTTTATTACGTAGAAAAGATCAACGGATGGCTGCTGCTAGACTAGTGTGTAGACCGTCCGTGCTGCTCCAGAACGACGCTGCTTTCCCGCCTCGCAAGTGTGTTGCACAGAATATTCGTCCATTCAACCGCTTATTCGAAGAGAGCGAAGCCCATGTCGTCATCCTCGGACTCGGACTCCTCCTTCTTCTCCTCCTTCTTGGCCTCCTTCTTGTCGCCACCGGCGGCGGCAGCGGGTGCGGCTTCGGCGGCTGCGACGGCGCCACCGCCGCCCACCGGCATCGAGGAGAGCTTCTCGCGTCCCTCCTTGATGAGGTCCTCGATGCTCTTGCCAGCCAGCTCCTTGATGACCTTGGTCAGGCGCTCGGTGTCGACCTCGATGCCCACAGAGCTGAGGATCTTCTCCAGGTCGGCGTTGGCGGGGGAGTCCTTGCCACCGAGGACGGCCAGAAGGTAAGCAGCCACGTAACGCATGTTTAAGTCTTGGGTTCTTGACACGAAACGTGAATTGGCAAAATGTACGAAAAACACAACTTTCCTTTGCAAGTTGTCGTCGAAAAAGAGGCGGAAGTCAGTGTGGCCGCGCGCTCAAGGCTCGAAAATACCAGCTGAGGCGTAAATACCAAAATATACCATGTCGCATGCTCGCAATACCCCTAACGAACCATTTATCGATAAGTAATTATCATTTTTGCCTTTTATTTTTATTTGTATTTACAAGTTATAGCAACGCAATTTGGTTGAAATATTTTTGTGCTGTTTTCTTGATACTTATAAAACCAAAAAGTGTTTGTATTACCAAAAGAATGTGACCGTTTTCACAGCATGGGAATCCTATCATTTGCAACCGTGGGTTTGTAACTTGGATATCGTAACAGTGGGATTCGCTTCTCGTTTACAGTTTGCTTAACAAAAATGTATCTAAGCAATAACTCGTTGTCTAAATAAATTACAATAAATCAAAATAATAAATAAAATAAATTAATCACAATAAATAATTAAAGATTTTAATGTTACTTCCAAGGCGGTTTATGTTACATTTAGCCGCGACTCACACCGGTTGAATCGGTTAACTGTTAAGTGCGGGAAAGAGAGCACGATGAGAGATCGCAAGTTAAGAGACGGAACTAAGGATGCGCAAGACTTAACATGGTGCGATCTGGTGTAATCGATAGTTAACATTACGAAGTTCTTAACAGCAGATTTTAGCTGTAATTTATATACATACATATAACTATCAAAAAATTCGAATAGTTTGAAGCTAGAAAACTGTCTAATAAAAAGTTTAAATTTAATTACTTCTCGAGATATCAATCATTCTTAAATATTCAAATGTTAACAAATATCAATTACTCTTTAAGAGCCCTTTAAATTAAAGTCGCACCCCCGAATAAATTGCAGAAATAAAATTAAACACCACTCTATTTGTATGCTGTATATATAATTGCATATATAAATGATTGTTGTTGTACAAAATTTTGAAATTGTATAATGCATTCCTGAACTTTGTGTATCACATTTCGATTTTGAGGGCCTCAAAACGCCTTCAAGAATCGTTTCACATGTAATGGTCATCAGTTAGTTGATCGGCAGTATTGATTTTTACACTTAGCTTACGACTACAAACATATTAAGGTATTCTTTACTCCGGATCCGGATTCGGTTCCTTATCCGTATCCGACAAAATAACTGGACTGTCGCGAAAAAATAAACAAAGTGCTTCACTACACTTAAAGGAACATTGTAACAAGAACGAAGCGCGGCCGCAATGATCAGTCCACTTCCACTATCCATTCTCCACTCTCCACTATCCTTTATCCTTTATCCATTATCCTTGGGGGTTCCAGGACTATAGGGGTTCCTGCTGGAAGTAGTCGTGCTCCAAGCAGGCCAAAGCGGATGGTCGCAGATGGAGGTCGTAGGAAAGCATTTTCTGGGGAGGAACGGAGGGTATGCGTTAGTTAAATTAAATTCTATTTTTGGGGCGGGGAGAGAGCAATTATTGCCGCCACCAAGAAGTGGCTGAATACTTCACCAGGCTGTCGCCCCTGCATACTCACATTCAACAGATCATCGGCGTACTTGCACAGGTGCGGGCAAAAGTCTTTTGGTCTCTTTGGATGCCGCT